GCTACTATTGTTGCTCCTCTGCAATAAACTGCTGTGCTGCAGCTGTGCTGGACTGTGGATGTTTGGGAGTGAGATTTCTGAGGCTGTGAAGACAAACTTAGTAGTGATTTTAAGAAAAAGGTTGGTCTTGTCTTTTTGGGCTCCTCCTTTGAGTTGTAGTGCTGATACTTTAGTGGTGTCCAAGCTCAGAATCTCAGTGCAGTGTTACATGTTTGTGATTTGTCTTTATAAAGGAAAGAGGTAAGTTTTGTGGCAGGAACAGCGTTTTGGTCCCCAAAATACCTGTGTGGATGGACTTATACTCTCTAGAATATTCTTGGTAGTACAAATGAGGGGTTTCAAATGAGGAATGGTTTGAAAATGACTTTAGCTGCTGGGGTGTTATCTCCCATGTTACTGTCTCTGTGGAGCAGTGCAAGCGATCACCCAGGGATGAGAAAGAAACAAATCTACAAAAAAACCTGCACAATTTTAGCCCAAGCAAGCCAGCTTCCTTTTGAGTTCTGTGCTTCACAGTTGTATGATTAAAAGTGCTTTTTTTTTTTTCTGTTCATAAGCAGTAAAAATAATTTCCCAAGGGTAATGAATGCACTTCCTGTGGTACATTTTAATTAGATGCAGCTAATGATGGCGTAGCTCGTCGTTTCAGGAACTGTCTCAGTGGCATTTATGGCTTGGTGTAAACGCTCGTATATCACGGGATTGCTTGAAGGAACTGCAGCTTTGAGAGATGGCAGGTTTGCGGTGCTGAGGGAAGTGACTCATCCACAGGAGGAGTGAGTTAGTGAGGGTAGATGGTAGAGCATGTTCGGGCTGCAGGCCCTGCAGTCAACAGGAGCTGTTCCTGGGTGTCACTCACAGAAGGCATATCTTACCTGCAAAGTCTCCACACCACTCACCTGGGCAGTCCAGCTATTGCGTGATTCACGAGTGTCTAAAGCGTGGATCAGGGCCTTCTGCACCTCCAAAGTGAAAGTTATAGGGGAAATCACCTTTTCTATAAATGGATTTACCAGCACAGGCCTTTAGAACTGTAACATCGTACTGTGAGCAAATTTGAGTCATAGGAGCTAAAAATCTTCGAGTCAGCAAATCTTCTCTTTCGTGATTTATTTTTTTAAAGGTCAGAAGGTGACTGTTACAGTCAAAGAATAGTTATTTGTACAGGAAAACCTTCCCAGATGAGGTGCAACCCTGTCCTAAACCTCTGAATCTGCAGCCTAGGTTTCCCAGAGCTGCTGGGTGTAAGGTAAAGCTGAGCAAGAACTATTTGAAAAGAAACATAGACTTATGTTTAGCTTTTCTTTTTGTTTTGGTTATTCTATAGTTTTTTCAGTAGATGCTGAATTTATTTGATTTAGGGGAGAGAAGGACTTTGCTTTAAAACATACCAGATAGGAATCTTAGGACAGACTTTTTGCACTCAAACAGCTGGAGCAGCTGTAGATTCCCCACTGAAATGAAAATGCAACAATTCAAGATTTAGAAAAGCAAAAAGTGTGACCAGAGCATTAAATAGAATGGCCATATGATACCAAAATTAAGCTCTGTGTTTATTATAAAGAAAATCCTTGTTGTAGAAGGGAAAAAAATGAACTTGTTCCACCACTTTCTTTTTTCCTCAGGAGAAAACACAGAATATATCCTAGGTAATAAATCTGTTTTATGGCTCACACGAGAAAGGGTGGAGAAACTGCCATTATTTTCTTCCCAGAAATGGAAATACACATGAGCTAACATGGGAGACACTGGGGTTTTCATCCAACCAACGCACAGCTGCCTTCTGCTTTTATTATTTTCCTAAGCCTAATAATTTTTCATTTGATTAGCTGGTGGCTGACAAAGCTATCACTTGCACGGTGTTTTGTATATTTAGTCGAGTAGGTGTGATGGGAAAAAGATATTGTGATGCTTACCCAGAAGCAGAGCACAACCTGTTCATTGATGGGGAATTTCTACTTGCCTCTCCTTGAAGTGCAAGTTTCTATCATCAGGATTTGAGTTTGTATATCAAGAAAGCAATTTCCTGACAGCTAGAAACAGGAGAATTGTTTGTTAATTCACATTGCGGAATTGCACGATGCTCTGCAGATGAATAAACTGTCAGGTCTCAGCTGGCAGTCTGTGGGGCCAGTTTTGCCACAAGAAAGTGGTGAGAGTATTTGAGAGGGAAAGAGTCCTGGTCAGTGGTTGGAGGTGTGAGAAGTAGAGCTGCAAACAAGATATATCAAGGATTTCAGCTCCCACAGCAGGAGCTGTGGAGAGACCCACAGACACGCATAACGTGCAAAAATCAGCAGCCACCACAAACCCATGCAGACAGTGAGACAGAGTGATACAGTGAGCACATCCATGAGTGTGGGAGTGTTGGAGCCGTCTGGGAATGAGGTTGCTGAGAGCCATGTCTGTGCAGACCCCTGGGAAGCCGTGGCTTCTCAGTTTGGAGTCCGGAGGGAGAGTGGCCCATCCCAGAACTCCTCTTGGAAACATGTGAAACATGTTTTCCCTGTCCTTGGGAACATGTGAAACATGCAGGACCTTTTACATCTTTTTTTCTAGTTGTGTGTTTGGGCCTCCATCATTTCCCTTCAACAATTGAGGGTGTTGGTTGCTTCCTCCTGTGTTTGTGTAGGAGAAGCTTTTTATAGTCCATTTTTCCAGTTGGCCTATGTACTTCCTCCATTGCAGGGTAACACATCGCTCTTCCCACTCCCTCCTAAGCACTGCAGCTGAGGGGAGACCTGCAGGGTTGGTTTATTTGCAATAAAAATGGAGCTGTGGGGTTGAGCATGATCATTATTCCTGCTTCAAAGTGTGTTCTTCGACAAGTTGTCTTTTGTTCTCGATAAGGGAGAAGCACGTAAGGAAGCAAAGAATAATCACTATTATTTGTATTTAGTTTAGAGGACATTCAGTTTGAACTGCACATTTCCAGCTCAGTTTTTGTTTAGCTGAAAATCTACCTATAAAAACAAGTTTGTCAGAAATGTGAATTGAAGTGGACTGCATTCTGTTTTTTGGCAGAAAAATTCTTAATGTGATGCCAAATGGGAAGAATTTTTCAGTGTCATCCACCCCAGACTTCTGCAAGGATTACAGCTGAGGTGAAGGCAGTGTAGGAGCTCCTCATGCACCCATTATTTTTCCCTGTAGGGATGAGTCTGGCACAGTGACAGCACTTGAGCCTTGCAGATTTGGAGCTGTGCCGGAGGTCTTTGCTCCAAGTCACATCAGATACACCAAGGA